CATTTAACTCAGTGAGTTGTTTATCTATGACATCAGTGAATCAATCAACCCGATAATGGTGCACGTTTGTGATGGGATGAGCTTTTCGGTTTGGTCGCTCTCCACTCGTAAAAATATCATCCATGCTATGAATTTTAATATGATTCTTGTCACAAAAGGATGAAACTTCATCAAATAAGGATTCCCAACCACTTTCTCGCATCCTTTGCAATCTTCCTTTGCATATATTGACCAAGTTCATTGCATTCACAATATCTTGATCCTTCTTTTACAATGCCTGTGATAAATCGTTTGTGATCCCCAAAACCTTTTTCATCAAGTGTAGACCAAAAATAAAGTTGAAAGATTGAATAAAAGTCAATAGAACCTTTGCTTCAAATTTTTGTTCAGAACTTGTTCCATCTTTTCATACAATCTCAAGCACTTCTATCGTTAATGAGAACATGTGAGCCAAGCTGATTAAACAATTATAGTGAGAGCTTCATTGCGTGTCACTAGCCCGCTTAAGAGTAGTTTCTTGATTCAAACCTTGTCCACTTGAAAGCTCGTTATTTTCTAGTGCTTCCAAAACTACATGAGCATGTTTCTCTCTAAGAATATCACGCTTAGAAGATGCCACCACAACATTCACCACAGAAGAAACCATAGTAAAGAGATCTCCAATTTCTGAATTTTTTTTTGCCACTACTACTAAAGCTAATTGAAGTTGATGAGCAAAACAATGAACATAAAAGGCAGACTTGTTCTCATTTAAAATCAGTGCTTTAAGGCCATTGAACTCACCTTGCATATTACTTGCCCCATCATAGCCTTGCCCACACAATTTTGATATGCTCAATCCATGTCTAGAAAAGAAATCATCAATGGCTAACTTGAGTGAGGAAGCTTTAGTATCTACAACATGCTCAATACCTACAAAGTGCTCTATCACATGACCCTTATCCACATAGCGCAATACAATGGCCATATGCTCCTTTGAAGACTTGTCTCATGATTCATCAACAAGAATGGAAAATAAAGAATCATTAATATCACTAGTGATTGCACTGATGATTTCATATGAAATAGCACTTGAGATGTCCTTTTGAATATCAGGAGATGTCAATTTCAAATTTTCAGGAGCATTTTCTAGCGTGACAACCTTTATACCCTCATTATAATGACGTAGCCACCGTCGAATTTCAAGAAAGTTTCCTTGGTTGAGTGAATTTTCAGATTCATCATGCCCACGAAATGGAAGACCTTGTAGTAAGAGAATTCTACTAACACCAGATGATGCACCTAATCGAGTTCGATAATCAATTTGATCTTGGTCAGTTTGTTTTGAGATAACTGTTTCACTATGTTGCTTTTGGTTTAATAAGGCTTCACAGTTTCTCCAAGCATTATTATGAGAACTATTTGGTCCTCCAACATGAATTTCTAGTTTCTTCTTGCACTTCCAATTCTTGAATCTAACTCCAACAAAAGTATCCCCACCAGATTGATCTCCAATATCAGGTTTGAAGAGATAACAACATAAACAATAGGCAGCATCCTGTGATGTGCTATACTCCAACCAATTAGGAAACTGAGTAAACCAAGCAGGATTGAACCTTCTAGGCTTTGTCCCAAAATTTGTGTAGGGAAATGTATGGGTTTTTGGTTGACAAGGTTTATTTTGGAGATAGGCTCTTCGAACTTGGTCTCGAACATTAGGATGATAACTCAAAATCGGTCTACGCAATCCAAGATCATATTGGAGAATTTCCGAGTTAATTTCCATAGAATCCACACAAGTTTGTTTTGAACTACTTTCATTGTTCTTTGGACTCTTTGGAGACGGTTCTAATATCTCATGTTGTGTTTTCCTTTTGAAATATCTTTCCATAACTAAAAAGTAAAAAAACATAGATTGACTAACTTTAAATTAAAAGAAATATGAACATATATGCTAATTTTACAAACTAAAACAAATTACGCGATAGTTAAGAGAAATTGCAAGACATAAATTTAATCATAATTTATAAACAAACAATTGTAACAGGAATTGAGAGTAAAATACATACTTTGGGTTGTTGACCAATTAACTAAACTTCAATGTCTTTTTTTGATGGAATGATGGAATAATGGAATTCTTTAATCTGCAAAAAAAAATATTATTTGTTAAATTAATTTACAATTGTAGATAACAACATATATGAATTAATTGAAAATGACAACTTTGGAGATTCGAAGTTCATACTTTGAGGATCATGGATATTGAATTATTGAAGACTAATAGGCGGATAGACTGATTGAAGACAGAGAAGTAGCAGGGTTGTGTACTACGGGAGAAAGTACATGACGGCAAAGAACTGAAAGATAATGGTGCTTTGTGTACTGAAAAGACTATTTTTTTCAGACTAGCAGCACAGCAGTCAGCTAGGGCTAGAAACTTAAAGAGTAAAAACATACTAATTTTTAGTATTGGGAAAAGGAATGGAAGTGTTGGAAGTTGGAATAGGTAGGCTTTAGGGTTAGACTAGATTACATAAATATTGTTAAAATATTTAAAGAGGGTCGGATATTTTGTCTAGAAAATTGAAATGGTTTAAGTGAAAAAGTCATGAAAAAGTGATAAAAATAATATGTAGTACTAATTTTTTTTTATAAACAAAAGCAGGATGGGCCTAGGACTACTGTGATCCTATGGTCCCTCCGCCCCTGGAAAGAGAGAGGGAATTAGAGAGGGAGGAGAGAAAAAATAAAAAGGATCATATAGAAAGAAGAGTAGAGAGACATGAGTTTAAAAAAACTTTAAAAACTAATGTTTTGTGTTTTCAATAAGTAACCAATTTTTCAAGTTGGTTTTGAGTTCACTTAGCACCGAGATATGTATGAATGTTTGTAATGCGTGTGATTTGGATTGAATACAATTTGGGTTTTCGGCACTTTCTCCCACTTTCATCCACTTTCATTTTTAAAAAGAGTCATACCAAACAAATATTATTGACTTGAGGCTCAAATATTATTTTTCAGTGATATTATGTTAAAGAGATTATATTCACACATCTCAAATTACCTCCCTCACACTCTTTTAATTTTTTAATATTTTTCTATCAAGTGTGAGTGGTGTGTAAAATATCAATAAAATATTTATATATATAAAAAAAAGGTGTGAGAGAAGCAATTTGGGATGTGTGATATAATCTCTCTGTTAATGTTGTGGAACTAAAATTGAGGATCAATGGAGTAACTGTAACATCACATTGACCAACGGAGAGGGGGGTGATGTGCCTTATATGTACATGCCCACCTCCATATAGCACAAGGCATTTTGGGACTCACTGGCTTCGGGTTCCATCGGAACTCCGAAGTTAAGTGAGTTCGGGCGAGAGCATTCCTAGGATGGGTGACCCACTAGGAAGTTCTCATGTGAGTTCCCTGAAACAAAACCGTGAGGGCGTGGTTGGGGCCCAACGATATTGTGCTACGGCGGAGTCGAGACTAGGATGTGACAAAACGGTATCAGAGCCACTCTGCCGTTCGGTGCGAGTGTACCGACGAGGATGTTGGGCCCCTAAGGGGGACATCCTATATTGACCAACGGAGAGGGGGTGATGTGCCTTATATGTACATGCCCACCTCCATATAGCACGAGGCCTTTTGGGAACTCACTAGCTTTGAGTTCCTCCATCGGAACTCCAAAGTTAAGCGAGTTCGGGCGAGAGCATTCCTAGGATGGGTGACCCACTTGGAAGTTCTCGTGTGAGTTCCTAGAAACAAAACCGTGAAGGCGTGGCCGGAACCTAAAGCAAACAATATCGTGTTACAACGGAGTTGAAACTGGGATGTGACAGTAACTGTAGTAGTGTAATAATATGTGACACTAAATGAAAGTCCAAAGAAGAAAGTGATATTGTTGCAAAACTATAACCATCATTACCTCCATTTTTGTTGTCATGGTTCCATCGATGAGGTTCAACTTCTTCATTCAGCAAAGCAAAACCTGCATTGATGCCAACTAATGCAGTGGAAATATTATCAGCATTTAAACCAAAAACCCAAGATATTGGAATTAGATCTTACTGAGAAAAGCATTACAACGATCTATTTATTTGTCACAGTTGATTGACTTAACGATCTTATTGTTAATTGATTTTTTACAGAGATAGTCTTTACAGAGTGATTTAAAATACAACAATTCTGATCCTAAGAACAAAATTTTGTGAATCCGTATTTTGAGGAGAAACTCCTCCTTGATCTTAAGGAACCAAGCATTCCTCGTTCAAACAATGAGCATAAAGTTTATTCTGTGAATCAGAACATTTCTTTTCAAAAAATGTGTTTACAGCTCTATAGCTTCCATATATTGCCACAAATTGAAGACGATTTAGGGGTCACATTTCAAGAAATATGTACCAGTCAGGTTTGGGAATGGTTGCGGCAAGCAGGTTTTGTTGCTGAATTCTTGATTGATTAATCAGTCATTGTATTCATTCATATATAATTGGACTAAATGAAAGCAATGTTCTACCCCCGCCTAGCACCGCCTAGGCGCTAGGCGACTGGCTATTGTTTCGATTAATTCCTAGGTATTTGAAAACAAAGAATGATCGCCTAAACTTGTTTAGGCGCCCGTCTAGAGCACCTGGGCACCCCCGCTTAGGTCGCCACTCTCACTTAGAAAAAAAATAGATAACTTTCATTTTGCATTTTATTTTTATAATAAATTGTAAGAAATTTGTTGGAATACTTAGATTAACACACATTATATGCTTGTCCCCTATGTTTTCATTATGCTCTAATACTTTATAATCTATGTCATTATATTTTACAATTTATGTAACGCAATGCAATTATGTATTTTTTTAAATGTAAGAAGGTACTTATTTATATGATATATAATAGATTCTACTTAAATCCGCTTAGGCCCCACCTAGACTCTGCCTAGCCTCCTAGGTGCTAAGCCCTAGCCCGCTGTTCGACTAGTACCTAACGTTTTTTAGAACCTTGATTGAAAGTATATCAACACAATCAAAACTAATTGAATAATTACAAGAAAAGTAAATCAGTCGGATTCTTGTGAGGGTGGACTTTCTTGTGTTTGCCTAATTTTAGGAGATGACTGAGCTGATGGCTCCGCCGCGAGCATATGTTTCTCATCGACATTATGGACAAAAATGCGGGGGGGGAAGTACATTCGAAAGAACTGAGAATACAAGAGAAACAGAGGACCAAAATAAATTCAACATCCACTGCCAATCGTTACATTTTGATTGAATGAAGAGTACCACGACCTTCTGCCATCGGGTTGAGAAGCTGATCGCCTAAAGCCGGTTTTGGAAGATCTAGCTAAATGGTTCCGCAACTTTCGATTACTAGAGCTTGGAACCAAACAAGGATTGATATTTGGAGCTCCCATGCAAAGGTTGTAGTTGATCTTGATTGATGGGAACTTCTGGCAGCTGAGGGACCGAAAAGACCCGAGAGGGGATTTTCTGGAGCAGCGAAACTCAGGCTTGTACAGTGGAGTTGTGATTGAGGAGGAATCTGATCCCTCAGAAGAACATGTGCAAAATGATAGTGATAAGCTTGTTCTTGCATTCTCCTTAGCCATTGATCTTGCTACTCGAAGCTTGACAAATGAAACTATGCCATTTCGGCAGAGAGGACATGCGATTGAGCCTGGGGGGCCATTAGACGCAGTTGAAGTGCAGTTTGTGGAACAAAGGTACAAGGCACATCTTGTGCAGAACTCATGATCACAACCTGCAAAACGTGAATTGTTAGTATTTGGCAACCAACAAATTTATACCTGATTCTACCATCTAGCATGCAGAAGGCCAGTAGCAATATATATAGCAATGGATCACATATACAGTACTCTGAAAATGGCTCATATCTTGGCTACTGTACAGTTAACTCTGAACTTTCAAAATACGGGGTTGTCTAACAGTAATAACATGTCTACCGAATTCAAGGTTCTTTAAAATTCGAATTTTTTAATGCATATCATGTTATGTGGTAGCTTCAAGGTTCCACAAGTGGTGGTTCCTTCTTCTGAATTGTTTATACATTGTTCTAAGTTGGAAATCCCGGATCAGCCAGTATACCACTGTAATTTCTTTTCATTTAGGCATCAAGAAACTGGCCACAATTACTTTAGTTCCACAAAATTCTGGCTAGCTAAAGTTGGTTTGGCAGCTTAAGACTTTATCGTTAGGCTTTTGGGCTTCGATTCTAATATGCGTACTGAGGACTTAGCAGAGCATTCACTTATGCATCTACCTTCTTCAGCCCAAACCAATGCTAAAGCTCTACCTCTATAGTATCTCACTGGTTCCCTACTTTATTAACCTCCATGAACCATCATCAGGGATATTTTTCGAGTGTGAGGATATATATTTGAATTTACTACACCAAGGGATAACTAAATGAAGCTGGTTCCGCATCAATCATTCTCCGCCGTTTTTCCCTTTCTCCAGGAAACAATCTTAAATGGAAAGATTCAGATGCGAATAATAGAAACCTTCCAACCTCTACAATCCAAAAAAAAAAAAATTCCCATTTGTATATGGATCAAATCAAGTGGAGTTGCCATGTAAACGTAAAAGAGATAGATAATCATGACAGTATGCACTTTTAAGAGAAACATACCTTCTGCGGCCACTGTGCACTGCTGTTCCAAACAGACAACACACGGATCTTGAAATGTAGATAAACAATCATTGTTCCTCCATCCACATTCTCTGTAACCGGCAGCCAAACAAGAGAAACATAATAAGCAGACAAGTTATTAAGAAATCTACTCGCAATATATAATGGCAAGCGAAAAGTATTTTCTGCTTCAACCACATACATGCATTTCATTTGCATAACCAGGGATAGCAATGAATTTATTGAAGGGGTTGCTAGAGAAAAGTTAGTGCAGGAAAAAGCCTCATTTTATACAAAAGAAAACTTAAGGGGTTATTCATAATTAAGCCGTTCATTCTTACAAAATTTATTTAAAGTCACTATAAATTTATAGTTGGGTTGTTTTTTTTATCTATATTTAACATGATTTATCGACTGAAGCAAATCAGAATTACAACAAATTTTGAATGGAACCAATTCAGAAATAACAAATAATTGGGTAGCAAAAAAGTTGGTCAATATATCTAAAAACCTATACTCACCTAGCAATCTTCATAATGCTCATAAGGGGAAGGGATAGGTATGGTGAAGGAAGAATCTGAGACTGGCCTTCTTCGGTGGTAAGGACTTCCTCAAGCCAGTCTCTATGCCACGAACGAGCCACCATCACGGGAGTCCACCTGTAAACAAGGGAAAACATACACCAGGGGTAAGTTGAAAGTTTGTGGTTTAGTAAAGAAACAAAAATAAAAGTAAAAAAGGAGTCTAAAGATTGTGACTGCAGGTTGTGACTGCAGATGGATAAACAACCGATATCACGTCAAACAAGATCCATCACAATAAGACACAAATTTTACAGCCCCATGGCTGATTATTAAAATTGTGCATCCATCTAATTAATTATTGACTTCACAGTCCAAATTTACAGGTTACTTGCCAGAGCTAACATAATAAAAGCAATACATTACTCAGAGAGAACGTGTGAAATTATAGGGAACACTGCCTCAATTGCACTTAAAAGCCACAGGGCAAATAGCCCTTTGGCTAAATGACACCTCTTGTCACCTTAAGTACAAGTGAACAAGGGTACTGACAGGCTTATAGTGAACAAGGGTACTGGCTAAATGATCATCTCCTGCCATGATCAAGAATAGTTTGATCACAAATAACTCCAACAGGACTCCAATGTCGCATGATGACATCTCCAGATCATGAAAAAAGATTAATGAGTTTGAGAATTGGGCACATGTATACAAAATTCAAATCTAACACTCACATTTGCGTCCACAAAACAAAGGTCAAAGTATATAAATATGCCAAAGTTTGAAACAAATAAAAAGTGATTGGAATCCGATACATACCCATTCGCATTTTCAGCACTTAGACTGGAACCCCGGGAAATCAAAATCTGAACAGCAACACATAAAATTAGTAATAGAAAAACATAAATGTCAGTATGAGATGAACAAGATTTACGTCTAGTCCTGTGTAGAATAAAGTACATACTTGACAACATTCTGCATTTCCTCCACATGCAGCATAGTGTAGGGCTGTGCTTCCAGCACCTGCAAAGTTGTCAAAATGGTTTAGGAAATACATCCGAATGACCAGACCTGCAAAATCATATTGGACTGACAGAAACATTTAAACATTAATGTTTAAACGTGAAAATACATTAACGGGAAGTTAAGCAAAGTATTAGGAACTTGAATACATCTGACTGTGCTATAGCTTTCTAAACAACACCAGAAATGCAAATGCATTAACTATATTCACCTGAAGACTTGGAATATACGTTATATGCATGATCCAGCTCCAAAATTACAACACAACTCCGTAGATTTGCTAAGGCAACTGGATAATGATAATTGCTGAAAAACGGCAAATAATAGAATAACTTACCTATTAGATCAACTGTAGCTCCGTCTTGCGCAGTTACCTTAGAAACAGATGCCCCTAAACCCAAAAGTAGTTGTACACTTTCAATGTGACCATTAAGTGCTGCCATATGCAGCGCAGTGATTCCTCCATCAGCGGGCCTATTAATTATCTGGAACAAAACACTGGTGCGCAGAACATGGAAGAGGAATCAGTGAAGCGTATAGGGAAAGAAAAAAAAAGAGGGTGCAAAAGGAAATGGAAGTGGAAGTACTCATGATTAAACTCTGTGATTGATTCTTCATTGCTATCAGCATTCCTTAATGTAGTCCAAAAATCCGGAGTGCTGGTAATGTAATCAGCCAGGAGGAGTCTGATGCATCGAGAATGACCATTCAAAGCGGCAAAGTGAAGTGCAGTACCGCCATTCAGATAATCTGCTCTGTGAATCTGAAATCCAGTTTTCCAAAATTTGTCATGTGTTAAGCACATCATTGCCAAAAGAATACTGGAAAACTGTTTTGGAATTAACAATCTTACGGTGGCTTTAGAAAGCATCAAAGTCTGAACAACCTCCCAATGACCATGTTGGCAAGCTTGCATCAAAGCAGTCTGTTGACCAAGATATAGAGCACAATGTTGATGGACGTAAACTGAGCAGGATAAACTTCTAATGTCCCAATTTGCGATAATTTTACCTGACCACGATAATTCCTGAGATTGATATCAACTCCAGACTCAAGCAATACAGAGACTATCTAAACAACAACAACAACAACAACAACAAAGCCTTTTCCCACTAAGTGGGGTCGGCTATATGAATCCTAGAACGCCATTGCGCTCGGTTTTGTGTCATGTCCTCCGTTAGATCCAAGTACTCTAAGCCTTTTCTTAGAGTCTCTTCCAAAGTTTTCCTAGGTCTTCCTCTACCCCTTCGGCCCTGAACCTCTGTCCCGTAGTCACATCTTCGAACCGGAGCGTCAGTCGGCCTTCTTTGCACATGTCCAAATCACCGGAACCGATTTTCTCTCATCTTTCCTTCAATTTCGGCTACTCCTACTTTACCTCGGATATCCTCATTCTCAATCTTATCCTTTCTCGTGTGCCCACACATCCCACGAAGCATCCTCATCTCTGCTACACCCATTTTGTGTACGTGTTGATGTTTCACCGCCCAACATTCTGTGCCATACAACATCGCTGGCCTTATTGCCGTCTTATAAAATTTTCCCTTGAGCTTCAGTGGCCTACGACGGTCACACAACATGCTGGATGCACTCTTACACTTCATCCATCCAGCTCGTATTCTATATGGTTGAGATCTCCATCTAATTCTCCGTTCTCTTGTAAGATAGATCCTAGGTAGCGAAAACGGTCGGTCGCTTTTTGTGATCTTCGCTAAATTGCTCCGGTCATTAGTGTGGATAAGTATATAAATGGATAGAGATAGGAAAGCAAACACAAGATGTATGTGGTTCACCCAGATTGGCTACGTCCACGGAATAGAAGAGTTCTCATTAATTGTGAAGGGTTTACACAAGTACATAGGTTCAAGCTCTCCTTTAGTGAGTACAAGTGAATGATTTAGTACAAATGACATTAGAGTACAAATGACATTAGGAAATATTGTGGGAGAAGGATCTCGTAATCACGAAACTTCTAAGTATCGGAGTGTGGTATCATCTTGACTTGCCTTATCTGTCTCATAGGTAGATGTGGCAGCTTCTCTGGAAGTACTCTTCCTCCATCCAGGGGTGGTATCTATAACTGGTGGAGATGCACAAGGTAATGTATCAATGTCACTTGAAGCTTACTTGTAGTTTCAGGCTTGGTCAAGCGCGATACAAACCATGTAGTAGGAGTCCCCCAAGTCGCCGAGCTAGGGGATTTGCTGAAAGAGGTGACAGACAAGGTAAGCAATCAGAGCTCCGGCTGATTGTTCACCTTCTCCCCATCTTGCAGCAGCATGAAGGATAAAGAGAAGAAAAATGAGAAGAGATGATATGGGATACTTTTGCTTTTGAAGAAGTAACTTTCCACAGGCTTATTCTTGAACTGAGCTGGAGGGTTTTCTGGTTTCCTCCAGAGTATAAGGCCGACTGAAGAATTTGAGGGTCAAAACAAGTCCATCAAATCTAGAGTACGTTCGACCCTGCTGATATGGGATACTTTTGCTTTTGACAGAGTAATGGATGGATCGGCACGTGTGCTGTTACGCTTGTCTCCACATGCTTCCTTGTATCCTTCGCACTTGCCCTATCTGTTCCTCAAGCAGATGCGGTATCTTCCCTGGCAACATAAGATGTTGAAGATGAGTACTCGAGAGCAATGCCAGGTAAGTAATCAGGTAAGGGGTTCCAGGCTGTCAGTTCCTGGCTGGGAGCTTGATTTCAAGTGCTGACTGATTGCTCTCTTTCTCCTTGTCTTGCAGGTAAAAACAAGGCCAAAGGAAAAGACAGGGAAAAAGCATGATATGGGATACTCTTGCTTTTAACCCTGATGATATGAGATATTCTTGCTCTAGTATAGCTTGTTTGCAGAGGTATTATCGGGGGGAAAGAAAGCTGAATATTTCGAAAGGCTTTGTTGGGAGTGCCCTCTCAGATATGAGGAAGGGTTGAGCATTTTTGCAGGTCTGCCTGTCCGTTGGGGATGGAGGTCGACATATATAGGAGTCTCCCTAACAACAAGTAGTAATGCTATTCCTTTACCCTACTTGGTCATAGCACGGTAGTGGGAGCTGCCAGCTTCACATGTTTTAACTCTGTCAGAGCACTTTGAAAAAGTGGTATGTGGTATCTGGCTCTCGAGATTCGGAGAACGATGCTTCTTCGATTTTTGAGAAAGCAATCATGGTGGGGGTCTGGCTCTCGAGATTCGGGGAGCAGTGTCTCTTCGATTTTTTGAGAGAGTAATCATGTTGGGAGTCTGGCTCTCGAGATTCGGAAGGCGGTGCCTCTTCAATTTTGGAGTAAGCAATCTTGTTGGGAGTGTTTTCTCGGATGTGAGTAAAGGTTGGGCATGTTTGCTAGTCTACCTTGCCACGAAGCACGGAGGTTGACACACAGGGACTTTCCAATTATCCAGCAGTGGTACTGTTCCTTTACCCTTGTGGGTAATAATATGGTAGCTAGACCTTCAAAATTTATGTGTCTAAACTTTGTTAGTGCTGTTTCTTTGCTATTCTTTTACCTTTCTTGGTCAGAGCGATGTAGTGGGAGCTGCAAGCTTCACGTGCTCAACTTTGGCAGAGACTTTGACAAAGTTATCTGTGGTACCCATGAGCTATTGTTGCGTGTGGGAAGTGGGTGATTGAACAGTAAGATTCATGTGCTTTCTACTTCACCAGAAGTCTTCGACAGAATGCCCATAATTTCCGCAAAGCTGAGTGTGCGTGTGTGACAGGTGCTGACAAGGCTAGAAAAGAAGGTGCCTCTTCGATTTCTGAGATCGGCCCTCGTGGTCTCTGAGCAGCCCAGCTTTTGAGAAAGCGAGCGCCTCTTCGATTGATTCGAAGAACGATGCCTCTTCGATTTTTGAGAAAGCAATCATGCTGGGGGTCTGGCTCTCGAGATTCGGGGAGCAGTGTCTCTTCGATTTTTGAGAAAGTAATCATGTTGGGAGTCTGGCTCTCGAGATTCGGAGGGCGGTGCCTCTTCGATTTTGGAGCAAGCAATCTTGTTGAGGAGTGTTTTCTCGAATGTGAGTAAAGGTTGGGCATGTTTTGCTAGTCTACCTTGCCACGAAGCACAGATGTTGACACACAGGGACTTTCCAATTATCCAGCAATGGTACTGTTCCTTTACCCTCTCTTCGATTTTTGAGAAAGTAGTCATGTTGGGAGTCTGGCTCTCGAGATTCGGAGGACGGTGCCTCTTCGATTTTGGAGCAAGCAATCTTATTGGGAGTGTTTTTCTCGAATGTGAGTAAAGGTTGGGCATGTTTGCTAGTCTACCTTGCCACGAGGCACAGAGGTTGACACACACAGGAACTTTCCAATTATCCAACAGTGGTACTGTTCCTTTACCCTTGTGGGTAATAATATGGTAGCTAGACCTTCAAAATTTATAGGTCTAAACTTTGTTAGTGCTGTTTCTTTGCTATTCTTTTACCCTTCTTGGTCAGAGCGATGTAGTGGGAGCTGCAAGCTTCACGTGCTCAACTTTGGCAGAGAACTTTGGCAAAGTTATCTGTGGTACCCATGAGCTATTGCTGCGTGTGGGAAGTGGGTGATTGGAACAGTAAGATTCATGTGTTTTCTACTTCCCCAGAAGTCTTCGACAGAATACCCATAATTTCCGCAAAGCTGAGTGTGCGTGTGACAGGTGCTGACAAGGCTGGAAAAGTAGGTGCCTCTTCGATTTCTGAGATCGGCCCTCGTGGTCTCTGAGGAGCCCAGCTTTTGAGGAAGCGAGCGCCTCTTCGATTTCTGAGATCGGCTTTCGTGGTCTTTGAGCAGCCCAACTTTTGAGAAAGCAAACACCTCTTCGATTTATGAGATCAACCCTCGTGGTCTCTAAGCAGCCCAGCTTTTGAGAAAGCAAACGCCTCTTCGATTTCTGAGCAGGCGCCTCTTCGATGTCTGAAGCTTCGTCGACTGCAGCTTTTTATAGGGGCTGGCATTAAGTTCCAAAGCACACTTGAATCTCCACCAGTAGAAGCTCCATTCTTGCACTTCTAAGATCTTGATTTGTCCGACCTCTTCTCTCTTCAATACCTTTGAAAATGTCTGGCCCCTCCGACCGTCGTTTTGACTTGAACCTTGTTGAAGAGGCAGCCCCGCCTTCTCCAGACAACATATGGCGCCCATCCTTCGTCTCCCCTACTGGTCCTCTTACCGTTGGGGATTCCGTGATGAAGAATGATATGACCGCTGCGGTGGTGGCCAGGAACCTTCTCACCCCCAAAGATAACAGACTACTTTCCAAACGGTCTGATGAGTTAGCTGTTAAGGATTCACTGGCTCTCAGTGTTCAGTGTGCAGGTTCTGTGTCTAATATGGCCCAACGCCTATTTGCTCGAACCCGCCAAGTTGAATCATTGGCGGCTGAAGTGATGAGTCTCAAACAGGAGATTAGAGGGCTCAAGCATGAGAATAAACAGTTGCACCGGCTCGCACATGACTATGCTACAAACATGAAGAGGAAGCTTGACCAGATGAAGGAAACTGATGGTCAGGTTTTACTTGATCATCAGAGATTTGTGGGTTTGTTCCAAAGGCATTTATTGCCTTCGTCTTCTGGGGCTGTACCGCTAATGAAGCTCCAAATGATCAACCTCTGATGCCTCCTCCTTCTAGGGTTCTGTCCAGTACTGAGGCTCCGAATGATCCCCCTCCGGTGCCTTCTCTTTCTGGGGCTCTACCGACTGCTGAGACTTCTCCTAAGCAACCTTTGTGAAGGCTCCCTCTTGTTTGTTTATTTTGACTCATGTATATGTACATATTTGTAGCTTATCGGGGATATCAATAAATAAGTTTTCCTTCATTTCAACGTATTGTGTTAGATACACCAAAGCCTTCTTCGCTAAGTTCTTTGAATTTTCTTTTGTTGAAGCTTGTATGTTGAAGCTTTCTGAGTGGAGCATGTAGGTTGGGGTAGTGTTCCCTTAATTTTTCGAGTGAGGAAAACTTCTCGGTTGGAGACTTGGAAAATCCAAGTCACTGAGTGGGATCGGCTATATGAATCTTAGAACGCCATTGTGCTCGGTCCTGTGTCATGTCCTTCGTTAGATCCAAGTACTCTAAGTCTTTTCTTAGAGTCTCTTCCAAAGTTTTCCTAGGTCTTCCTCTACCCCTTCGGCCCTGAACCTCTGTCCCATAGTCGCATCTTCTAATCGGAGCGTCAGTAGGCCTTCTTTGCACATGTCCAAACCACCGTAACCGATTTTCTCTCATCTTTCCTTCAATTTCGGCTACTCCTACTTTACCCCGGATATCCTCATTCCTAATCTTATCCTTTCTCGTGTGCCCACACATCCAACGAAGCATCCTCATCTCCGCTACACCCATTTTGTGTACGTGTTGATGCTTCACCGCCCAACATTCTGTGCCATACAGCATCGCCGGCCTTATTGCCGTCCTATAAAAAATTTTCCCTTGAGCTTCAGTGGCATACGGCGGTCACACAACACGCCAGATGCACTCTTCCACTTCATCCATCCAGCTTGTATTCTATGGTTGAGATCTCCATCTAATTCTCCGTTCTTTTGCAAGATAGATCCTAGGTAACAAAAACGGTCGCTCTTTGGTATTTCTTGATCTCCGATCCTCACCCCTAACTCGTTTTGGCCTCCATCTGCACTAAACTTGCACTCCATATATTCTGTCTTTTGATCGGCTTAGGCGAAGACCTTTAGATTCCAACACTTCTCTCCAAAGGTTAAGCTTTGCATTTACCCCTTCCTGAGTTTCATCTATCAACACTATATCGTCTGCAAAAAGCATACACCAAGGAATATCATCTTGAATATGTCCTATTAACTCATCCATTACCAACGCAAAAAGGTAAGGACTTAAGGATGAGCCTTGATGTAATCCTACAGTTATGGGAAAGCTTTCGGTTTGTCCTTCATGAGTTCTTTACGGCAGTCTTTGCTCCTTCATACATATCCTTTATAGCCTGGATATATGCTACTCGTACTCCTTTCTTCTCTAAGATCCTCCAAAGAATGTCTCTTGGGACCCTATCATACGCTTTTTCCAAATCTATAAAGACCATGTGTAAATCCTTTTTCCCATCTCTATATCTTTTCATCAATCTTCGTAAGAGATAGATTGCCTCCATGGTTGAGCGCCCTGGCATGAACCCGAATTGGTTGTCCGAAACCCGTGTCTCTTGCCTCAATCTATGCTCAATGACTCTCTCCCAGAGCTTCATTGTATGACTCATTAACTTAATACCCCTATAGTTCATGCAATTTTGTACGTCGCCCTTATTCTTTGTAGATAGGCACCAAAGTGCTCGTTCGCCACTCATTTGGCATCTTCTTCGTTTTCAAAATCCTATTGAAAAGGTCAGTGAGCCATGTTATATACCTGTCTCTCCCAAAACTTTCCACACTTCGATTGGTATATCGTCTGGGCCTATTGCTTTTCTATGCTTCATCTTCTTCAAAGCTACAACCACTTCTTCCTTCCGGATTCGACGATAAAAAGAGTAGTTTCTACACTCTTCTGAGTTACTCAACTCCCCTAAAGAAGCACTCCTTTCATGTCCTTCATTGAAAAGATTATGAAAATAACCTCTCCATCTGTCTTTAACTGCGTTCTCTCTGTAGCAAGAACCTTTCCATCCTCATCCTTGATGCACCTCACTTGGTTTAGGTCCCTTTGTCTTCTTTTCCCTTGCTCTAGCTAGTTTATAGATATCCAACTCTCCTTCTTTGGTATCTAGTCGTTTATACATATCGTCGTAAGCCGCTAACTTAGCTTCTCTGACCGCTTTCTTCGCCTCTTGCTTCGCTTTTCTATACCTTTCACCATTTTTCATCGGTCCTCTCCTTGTATAAGGCTTTACAACATTCCTTCTTAGCCTTCACCTTTGTTTGTACCTCCTCATTCCACCACCAAGATTCCTTTTGGTGTGGGGCAAAGCCCTTGGACTCTCCTAATACCTCTTTTGCTACTTTTCGGATACAACTAGCCATGGAATCCCACATTTGGCTAGCTTCCCCCTCTCTATCCCACACACATTGGGTGATTACCTTCTCTTTGAAAATGGCTTGTTTTTCTTCTTTTAGATTCCACCATCTAGTCCTTGGGCACTTCCAAATCTTGTTCTTTTGTCTCCCTCTTTTGATATGTACATCCATCACCAACAAGCGATGTTGATTAGCCACGCTCTCTCCTGGTATAACTTTGCAATCCTTACAAGTTATACGATCCCCTTTCCTCATTAGAAGAAAAATCTATTTGTGTTTTTGACGACCCACTCTTGTAGGTGATCACATGTTCTTCTCTCTTCTTAAAGAAGGTGTTGGCTAAGAAGAGATCATATGCCATTGCAAAATCCAAGATAGCTTCCCCATCCTCGTTTCTCTCCCCAAAACCATGGCCACCATGAAAACCTCCATAGTTGCCTGTCTCCCTGCCCACGTGTCCATTTAGATCTCCTCCTATAAATAACTTCTCCGTCTGAGCAATTCCTTGCACCAAGTCTCCAAGGTCTTCCCCAAAATTTCTCCTTCGAACTCGTATCCAACCCTACTTGAGGTGCGTACGCACTAATCACATTGATAAGTTCTTGTCCTATTACAATCTTGATTGCCATGATTCTATCTCCTACCCTCTTGACATCTACAACATCTTGTGTCAAGGTCTTGTCCACGATGATGCCAACACCGTTTCTCGTTCTATTTGTGCCCGAATACCAAAGTTTAAACCCTGAGTTTTCTAGATCCTTTGCCTTACTACCAACCCACTTAGTTTCTTGTAGGCACATAATATTTATCCTTCTCCTCACCATAACTTCCACTACTTCCATAGATTTTCCCGTTAAGGTTCCTATATTCCACGTTCCTAAACGCATTTTGCTCTCTTGAACTCTACCCTTCTGTCCTAGCTTCTTCACCCTCCCCCGTCTAATAGGATCAAAGTACTTCTTTTGTGTGTCCCGTGTAAAGTTGATAGGAGCATATGCTCCCAAACAACTTTGAGTGGAGTCGTTCGAAAAGAAGTTTCTACGGCCCCCTTGCTCATTTAACACTGCATCCGGGTACCGATGGAGATACAGCGACCCTTGCTCACTTATCACTGTGCTCGGGCCACACAGCGCGCCACTTACGGGTGACGCCCTAGCTTTAGCGCGATTTTGTTCTGGATTCATTTTCATAAGGATTCGACGTGATCATGGAGTGCCGGCTGTCGACTACCTGACGCCCTCCCCCTCCTCCTTTATCCGGGCTTGGGACCGGCAATGTAAAATTACATAGGCGGAGTTACAGAGACTATCTAAACACATGGAAAAAATACAATCACAATCCTATCACATAAGCAAAACCGCAATGAAATCAAAATCTTATTAGAGTTATACCTCATGGTGGCCCTGAGCTGCAGAATAATGGAGAGGGGAATTGCGTACACCGAAAGTGGAGTACCTTGCCAGGCGAGGGTTACATTCCAGCAAGGCCTTGGCTTCTTGAACATCGCCATCTCTTGCTGCTGAAACTAACCGCTCCCCGGATGCTGAACATCCAAATGAATTTCCCATAACGCCTAGAAATTTCATGTCCCTCAAAATATTACAAACCCAACAGATGGGGATTTACAACGACCAAAATTTTGGCTATTTGCTCCACACTTGCCTTATTTTCCTCAAATGTCAGACATCAAATCCTTAATCCATCCAATAAACAACACATACAGATATTGATGTTGTTGTCTGCAGATTAGTTAAACATTTCGACAACTTGGAGAAAACCAACAAAAGACAGACAGGAACGTTAAAACCTTACCGAAATCAAGGCCATTGTCTCCTCCACAGAAGCAAGGCCTTTCAAACCCATCAATCCTCCATCCAAAACAAATAAAAAAAATCTTCAGTTTCCGCTCAAAGCAAAGAATCTTCCTCACCCCCCATATTTTTTATCAAATAATCAAAATCTTCAAAACCCAGATGGAAAATCTCCTTCTGGGTTTTAAAGGAAGCTGATCAAAGATAGATGTAATGAATGAAATGAAGATTATCTTCAAATGGGAGAGTATTATTTTCCCAAGAAAAAGAAATAAAAAGAGAGGGAAGTGGGTGAGTAATTAGGGAGGAGGACAAGAGCTCCCTCCTCAAACCTCAACCAAAAATAGCCCGCAAGAAAGGCATGTCTCCGACTCTCCACGACCATGATTGGATATTATTAGCTAGTCAACTTGGTAGTTGGCTTCGTCCTTTCTCCGTCTCCCTCTCCCTCTCTCTCTCTGGTCCCTCCCTCCTTCTCCCTTTTACTTCAAGCTGGGGCAAATTTTACTTTGTCCACGCAGGTCACCTGACTCTCGGCTAATCATCCTCACGGATTAAATTACGTTTCACCTCTTTTTTCACCACTGCCACAAGCATGATACGATCACATATCACGTGTCACGCATGGAATTTGGGTTGTGATTTTTGCACACCCATTTCATCTTGGCCACACTTCCTAACCATGACATTGATTTTTATTTGTTTGGTATAAGGAAAACTAATGAAAAGTGTTTGAAAACTTTGAATTTTAATGATAAGAACAAAATAAAGGGTAAAGTGAATAGTATCATGTTTGACTTTTTAGTGTAAAAATGTGGTTTTTCGTTAAAGTGAACAGTACCGTGGGCTTTTCATTAAAACTCTCTTTGTTATATTCACTAGCTGACTAAAAAGATGAATATGCAAAAAGTGAAAAAGAACACGTAGAGGTTTAATTTCTCTATCGCATATCTGTTGATTTACCCTCAGAAGTTGTATAAAGTTATAAATTTCCCTCCTTGAACTTTTATTAATAGTCAATTTTCCCTTTGACGCTAGATTTTAAAATTTTTCATCTAGTTTTCCATCATTTTTTTATCATGTGGACAACACATGACAAACGCATGAGGGAAAAAGGAATGGAAAGTTGGATGGATAAAAATTGGATGAAATTTTTTAAAATCTAACGCTATGAGGAAATTGGCTATTTGTGATAGTCGGCTAAATTTAAAATTCAGGAGGAAATTAGCTAATTATAAAATTCTGAAGCATAATTGGCTAGTTATAAAAGTTCAAGAGGGTAATTGGCTAAAATTAAAATTCATGAGAGAAATTGATAGCTCTATACAAATTTGAGGGATAACTTTCCATCATAATATTTGCATATAAGTGTATGATTATGTTGACCCCAAAAATTACAAACTCTACATGGCGCGCAAGTTGAGAAACTATGAGCTAACTACATCCTTCTTGTTAATGCGGGCGTGCCAACTCACAACCGAGCTTGGTCGGGTGATAGAATAGATGTAGTGGTGGTGTCGAATGAGTTGCTGATTTTCGCATGAAAAAGTGATTACGACCAAGGAAGGAACACTCTCAAATTGAAGACAACGTTACTAGATCCCTACGAAGTTTAGTAACTGGTTTGGCTTTTACTGTGCCGAACAAGAGATAACTAAGTAACACCTCACTTCGCAGAGAAGCTAGTGAGATGACCTCTTTAGGTGAAAGAATTGGAAACTCTTCGCCCGCCCAGACTTTGATGGATAACTAACCAACTAGATTCAGTGATGTTAGTTCAAACTGAAGATGCTCGATGATTCCTTGATTCTACGGCTCAAGTGATGTTAGTCCAAACTAAAGATGTCACAAGTTGTCAACACAATGCTATTAGTCCAAATAGAGTTAGGATAGTTAGTGTTTTTCTCAGGGTTGTGAGAAAGGTTTTGCGTAGAGCGAGGGTTTTCGCATAATTTTCAAATTCAAAAATTTTGAAACATAATTCCAAAATTTATTGTACAAGTTTTTTAATATTCTTGAACTTTTCCATATAGAAAATTTATTGTTCTTTTTCAATATTTGGTATATGTTTACATATAAATCCAATTATTTCTGTGGTATACTATATCCTTTTAAATATATAAGTGTATAATATATATCCAAAATAAGCAATAAGAAAAAACTTGATTACAAAACACCTAATTTTAGTAAATAACTATCAAAATATTTCGATTTTTTTTATAGAATAAGTTCATAACACTTTGAAAAAATTAGGATTGAAAAACCCTAAATATATTGTGTTGATCCGTCCTTAATTTTCTATGTAATTTTCTCCCTGAGTGTGTAAATTGATGTTTATGCCCTTTTTGGTAGAAGTGAAAATTGACGTGGACATGGTTATTCGACTTTAATTTATTTTTCTCGTTATCGTAATTGAATAGTACTCGCTGTTGATTTTTCAGGTAATGCGGGACCATGATTTTTCAGGAGTGGAGTAAGGCTGATCTGAATACTACTACCTTAAAAGTCCAGTCATGAACTACCAGCTCTGGGTAGAGTTTTATCAAATGAAGCAGGATGCCACCATCATTATGCTCCGGGCTCGAGGTGGAGCCCAAGCGACTCCGCTGGATGACCATGCTTGTTCTGCAAGACACGCGAATTGATTCTGATATGGACTCAATCACATCCTACAAGTCTTGGAGTCCCTACAATCTAGGGATAAGCGTGCGCCGCAAGTAATCACACTCCTAGGAGGATGCAATATCTACTTACTAGATATCCTCTCAGATTCTCCCAGCTTAGAATAAGGATTCTATCTTAAAAAGGTCACTCTCCCACCTTATAAATACACCCATTTAGGGTTCAACTATGGTAATGTAATCTATACACTTGAATTCTCCTGCTCACTGCTTGAATCTCAAATCATTCACTAACTTGACCGTCGGAGAATCTCAAATCATTCTCTTTGGTCTTTCTTACGATTGTTTACTGTTTTGCAGGTTGTTCCAAAGCACACGAATTTATGCTCAACCACTGCTTACGGAGGTGCACATATTTGGTTCCAATAGGTAGACAAATTATCAACAAGCAAGTGCACCAGCAACAACCTTTCTACGGTTAAGATTGTCGTGCCCTCACCATCCATTGGCTATTGTGCCTCTTGGATTTTTATCCAATATGGCGCGCCCAACTACATCTCTTTTTGAATCCAAAGACTCAAATTCAATTTAATCAATTTTAACAGTAACAAAAATATACAGAATCTTAAATTTAAATTTAAGGATTGTAATTTAAATTTAAGGATTGTAATAATATTATTAATTAATTCAAATCAGATCCAACACCAAAACTCTATACCCATCCATTTGTTCAGTAATCCATCAAAAAAAAAAAAATCAATTTTCTCATATTTTACTACCAAATTTTTGTTTCGAAATTTGAAAATTTTTACATCAAAATGTTCATAAAAATTAAACAAGATATATATAAACTAATTCCAAAATTAGTAGCAACCAAAAAAAAAAAAACAAAATATAAAAGTTAACAAATTATAAAGTTGTGGTGGGAATTATAAGTTCTTTACCGTTGGAAAAAAACTGTCTAATTTCATTTTGTAGATTCTTTTTACGAACTTCATTCTATAGATGAATAATTAAAAATACGGTACTAAATTTTGAAATCTTAAATCTTTGCGTTGGTGAAAGTCTCATTGACTTAACATTAAGCGGCACAAAAGCCATTACCAAAATCCACAAATAAAACTTAAGCAAAAATGTCACTTTCCTTTTGTTTTTTTGTTTTGTTTTTTTTGGCCTTTGGGGGTCCATCGTAGAACTCTCCACTCACTCGACATCACTAAAATACACAAAATCCTAAGCTCCCCCTTCTAATATTTCTAAAACGTACTATTGTTTGTACCTATCTTTCTTCTGACTTTTTAACTTTTTATCACATTTATCATTTTGAATAATACTAGAGAGGTTACTGTGCGGTAAACTAAATGAAATAAAAGTTTAAGATTAGATTATTGCTTAAATGTTGAACGTACTTATTTTTTTATTAATGACATATAATTTAGTTTGCAGGTTTGATCTACTTAGCAAATACTCTATCTTTCTTGTCCATTACCTAGGAAAAAAAAGTTGATCCATTATTAATGTATTTATCAACCTAGGTTATCTCCAGTTAAAAATTATAGACCACATTTAATTTTAAGATTGCCACGATAAATCTTCAACCAAAGAGCTAAAAGAAATCGCATTATTGAAGAGGGACTTAAAGTCTTCAAATAGGAGATGATTGAATAGAATTGAAAGAATGAGATCAGAAATAACAAAATAGGTAATGTTAGGAAAACTAAATTTTAGACGAAATTTGCTAATTAAATTATGTGTTACCAATAGGAATGGACATGTTTATCAATGCTTAAATCATAATCCAATCATTAACTTCTATATCATTTAGTTTAGCAAATTTGTCTTGTCTATCTAAGTATTGCCCATAACAAAGGTTATTAAAATATGTTAACCAAATAAAGAAAATCCATTTAAGAATTATAGTTTCACACAACTTTGTGAAGACTTCTAGCATTATTTCCAGTTAAGCTGCATTGGGGTTGATGCAGGTTTGGTTTGTAGTAAACCAGAACAAGTAAAAGAAGAAGAGCCTTGCATTTGATGAAGACCATGATTTCATGTTCTAAAAATTTTAAATTAAATAATGTGAGTGACTACCTAATGTGCCATTTATAACTTTGCAGGTTGGTGGATTTATTGGCTTTTCAAATCTCACCTGTGTCACCATTTATTTCCATCTTTCACATTCAATATTTCCTCTCTCCTCTCTCTCTCTCTCTCTCTCTCTCTCTCTCTCTCTCTCAATATTTCAATTTGCAACACATGACACCAAGCCTAAATAACTTTCTGGGGTTTGGATGTTTTGGAGTCGGACTTGTTTCCAACTTTGCATACCAGATGGGGTTCTTCGGTTAGCTGCCTGAAGCTCAAAGCTGCTATCTTGGGGAGCTCATTGTTCCAAACCCAACCTTTTGTCCTTGGAAAAAACAAAAACAAAAAATGGTATGGATGTGGAAGCTCCTTGAAATCAAAGAAAATGGGGTTTCTTCAATTCCCACGTTCCCACCATACTTTGTTCCTCAGCTTCCTCCCCCACCCCCAAATCTCCAATCAAATAGTTTGAGTTTTGGGAACAAAGTCAGTCCAAGCATACTGCTAATAGTCATAATAGTAGCCATTGTTTTCTTTGTTGCTGTGCTGCTCCACCTCCTTGTTAGATTCCTCCTGAGGCCTCCAGCCAGAGATTCAGAGGACTTGGAGAGTGTGACAGTTCTCCAAGGGCAACTGCAGCAACTGTTCCGCCTCCATGATGCAGGCGTCGACCAGTCCTTCATAGACGCCCTCCCTGTCTTCTACTACAAAGCCATCATTGGATTGAAAAACCCTTTTGATTGTGCTGTCTGTTTGTGTGAGTTTGAGGCTGAGGATAACCTCAGATTGCTCCCCAAATGCAGCCATGCCTTCCACATGAAGTGCATTGACACTTGGCTCTTGTCTCACTCCAGTTGCCCTCTCTGTAGAGCTACTTTGCTCCCTGATTTCTCACGCAGCAATGGCTGCTCACCCATTGTTTTTGTCTTGAATCTGGGAGTGACAGCTCCAGAGAGATGGTCTCTGATAGAGATGGACTCACTTCCCATCTGGGTTTTCATGGAGACATGGAATTGGGGTTGTCATACAAATCTTGCGAAATTGTGGCGAAAAATGAGGCTAACACGGCGGTGATGGTGGATTCCGGGAAAAAGGTAGTGCCTGTGAAGCTTGGGAAGTTCAGAAATGTGGATAGTGGGGGTGAGGGGAGTAGTGACAGCAATGTGGATTCAAGGAGGTGCTTTTCTATGGGCTCATTTGCGTATGTGATGGATGACAAATATGAATTGCGAGTACCGATTAGAGCCTCGATGAAAAGGCAAGCAATGTCGGAATGCGATTGTGAGTCGAGGAGAGAATTCAAGTTTAGTGGGGTCGAAGCAATTGGAAGCCTTGAAACTCAAGGAACTAGTACTGGCGCTAGTTGTACTAATGGCAATGGCAGTAATGGCATTGGGAGGAGCATGCGGGAGAGCTTCTCGATATCGAAGATTTGGCTTATGGGGAAGAAGGAGAAGCCAAATGGGGCGGCAGATTCGTCACGAAGGGCCTTTTCGTTTCGGTTTCCAGTGCACCAGAGTGCGGTGGCGGCAGGGGAGGGAGCGAAGGCCAAGAATGTTGGGAGTGAGAGTAGGAGGACAATTTCAGAGATTGAAATTGGGAGGTAGGAAAATGGAGGGAGTGAAGTGGGTTGTGATCAGGACAATGTTAGCTGTAACAGTTTGGATTCACAAGCAAATCCACCATCTTTTGCAAGGAGGACGCTGGTGTGGCTTACGGGAAGACATTTGAACAAAGTTGTTTATTCATCACTTGATCCTAGTGTTTATTAGTATTTATTTGTTTTAATTTATTTGATTTTGATTTTTTTAGATGGATAAATTATTATTTTTTATTACTGCTTTCTGGAAGGTATATTTTGGTGTTGTGTAATTGGGAAATGAAGCGGACTTTGAGTAGAGATATTAACACAAAAATTTTGGCATTTATCTTGTCGAAAGATGCAAAATGTTTCCTCTCATAGACTCGTAGTAATTGGGAGTGAGAGTTGGATTTTGTTGCTTGATTTGTTTGTTGCGTGTCTACTTCAAACGTTGGTGTGCTCGAGATTTATGTAATTTTATTTGACAACTGTTAGTTTTCCGAGTTGTTTTGGGAGCCGGAGTCTGCGTTTTGCCATTGTCCTTTTAGAGGAAAACACATCATTAGGGCTACAAAACCACAACTAAGTACCGCCATTAACTTTGGTAGATGCTCACCACCCTCCTACTAGCTTGCAACGTCTCATTTTATTTAACTATAGTCAAAATTAATGCTAATTGTGTGTTCACTGTATTTTTTTTAATTGAAAACAGTAACATATTACATCAGTGGCGAAGCCACATGGCGATCAATAATGACCTCGGCCTATCCTGAAATTTGATAATGTATATGTATTGTTAGTGTTTCCAATAAATAGCTTGTAGTGCACTGGTAAGTGGAGTTTGAGAGTTCCACGGGCCCCTGGGTTTGAAAATCATTGATGTTAAAAGCCTTCTAGTTGGTTACCCATAAAAAAAAAAGGCCTTCTAGTTTTTTTTCAAACTTAAACCTCCTTTGTTTTACCATATAAATGAAGGTCCATATTACAATTAGCTTTCAAACTAATTATGTGACAGCCCGTCCCGCATTAACACTTTCGTTTGTGTGAAGTGTGTTTAATTATCCTAATTCTTTTTAAAGTTGGTTGATAATGGACGGATATAGACGTTTTCGGCCGTATATATTTGAATAATTAAACTTTGGAATCCTATGCCCTCACGGGGCTTACAGAAATCATTCCTTTTCCCTTTTACTTTCTTTAATATGTGATTTCCTCAACCTTGTCCTCTCACTCATTCCCTTTATCTCTCCCCGACAAACTCTCAAGCTCTCATTCACTCTCCCTCCCTCTCAAACCACACGGCCAAACACACGGACCAACATTAGAACTCTCTCAAATCTTCATAGATCGAAGAAAATAAAACCACCATCGTCTTCGTCTCGACGATACGAGTCCAACCATACCAATTTCAGGTAAGAACTACAACGTTTTCACGTCGAAAACACGAACTCCGATTTGGGTACTATTCATCAACTTTTTATTGGTTGATTTTTAGGACTTTTCAAGCTTATAGGAAGCTTCTTGAGGTCCTTAGGAGGCTCGGGGTAGTTCGTTGGAAGTTTTTGGACGTAAGAACACAGAGATCGACAAGTTCAAAGTTTGACCGGAGCTTTCGAGGCTTTTTTCAGTGAATCCCCGGCGAGTTAGGGGTCGAGGTAGGTATGAATGTGTTCGTCTCGTCAATATCTTCATTTTGATATAAAGTGCGTTGAAAATGGTGAAGAAATGAAGAAGTTATGACGTTTTGAAAAATACCCAGTTTCCTGCGACCTCCGAGGCTTTCGAGGAAGTTTCCGGCCAAACCACGGCGAGCTAGGTATTGTGTGAGGTACCATTCTCTTTGTATCTTCAAGGGATACAACTTTCGTTTTCGAATCACTTGATTTTGTTGAGAAATGACAAAGTTATGGCAATTTGAAAAACTACCCAGAAACCGGCGAACCAGTCCGGCGAACCCAAGGAAGAAGACGCGCGTGGGGGCGCGTGGACCCGTGCCCTTCCCGGCGCATGGAGGCGCGTGAGTGGCCCAAAAATTGTTCTAAAAATTGCTACGTGTTCGTGACGTCGTGTAGGTCACGGTGGTATATTCACATACCCAAATTGAGCAATATATACTAGAAGTTATTAGCGAATGTTGTGTATGTGCTTTTAAATGATGTTTGTATAATTATTCTTTTATAGGTGAGATTTATACCGAGGACGAAAGTAACCAAACTAGGCGTGGGGGTTACGAACCGGCTACTTATCAGTGAGTGGGCAGTTATTTTTTAGTATATATATATGTATGCTTGACGTTTTTCCCAGAAAACGTATTTTAAGGAAATGTGATTTAATTATCCTGTCATATATGCATCATATTTTAGTATGTGCATTATTATAATTATGCATATTGTTGCATGGTGCTGAGGAGGTCCAGGTAAGCTACATGTGAGTATATTATGCTGGTAACGATGATGTGATACGATTGAGATATGATTGAGATATAATTGAGATACATTTGAGATACGATTGAGATATGATTGACATATAATTGAGATACGATTGTGATACGATTGAGATATGATTGAGATATGATGAATCATATGATTGAGATGTGATTGAAAGCTCATTTACTTGCACACGTATATTAGTGCTCCCGCCCAGAGTTAGGGGCACAGTCTTTCACGTGATGTTCACCTCCTGCACCGCATGCTCGCCTTGGATCCAAGTTAGGTGCACAGTCCTGTCGTATAGACCACTTTTAGTGGGTTCGACTCGTAGGTGACCCGCGATTTATCGCACAGTCTTCACGTGATTGTAGCACTAGAGCATATTATGTTATATACAGTGATGAATTGCAGACCATGTGAGGTGGTATTGAATGTGTGCAAGATATACATATATATACATGATGTGATGAGATGATTATGAGCTATATGTGCAGCTGAAGGCTGAGTTGATTATAATGAAAGAATATGAACTATGTTTATAGCCGAGCGTTGAATTGATTATATGTTATTCCATCATATTCACTTAGAGACTATGAGCATTCAGTTATGATACTTTGGCATGTCATACATTCATATTGTCCAGCATGAATTTGAGATATATTACGTATATGAGTATATACTTTATTTCTGGGAAACTATACTTGTTTTACGGCGAGGGGTTAGTATATTCAAAGAGAAAATAAGGTTTTGAAGAAGTTTGTTTTGCTGACGCACTCAACTTTGTTTTGCGCCCCTCCAGGTTCTAGGTAGCGTTTGTTGTTGGATCTCGAGGTTTCCAGCTGAAGTTCTGACAAACCATCACTCATGTAGGATTATCTTCGAGTGTTGTAAATTAGTACATCTTATGTTTGACTGCACTTACACCTTGTGCTCTGGTTGTGTATTCACACTTAAACTTACGTTAGAACCTATCGTATTTGGTTTTAATTATTCGTACTTTTCTTAAAAATATCGCTTCCGCACAGCGCACATGGCTACGTCACGCTCACGTAACGGCTAGCATGCCTTGACTTCGGTCGGGGTGTGTCAAATTAGCCTTATGTTTTATCATATAAAAATTAATTCCTTTTTTGTTGAGTTCATGTAATAATTTTGAAAAGGAAATTCATTTAGAAGAAGATCCAATTACATTGAAAGGAAAATTTCATGGTAATAGTTTTGAGTTATGAACTTAAATTTTTTTTCGATCTTTCTTTTTTATTAAAACTCTTAAACAAGTTATGTTTTTATGATATAATCATCTAAATACTAAATTTTTCATAAAAAGTTAATGCCCCGCCACTCTTGTTTGATAAATTTTGGGGTGTATTATCGACACCCTTTTTTACTTCTCACACACCCATCAATTTTCGATCCTTGAATGTAATGAATTGAAGAAGATCAAAGGACAAAAATTAACAAAGGTGTGTGTGGATGCAAATTTCCGCCGTCTTAACCTTTGACAAAAATGCACCTGCAAAATAATAACACCTAAGATTAAGGCCAAAAGCCTCACGCGCCCACGATGAATGAGGGAAGGGGCTTTGGCCGAAGAATCTCCGATGCCAAAGTTAGAATTTGAAAGAGAATGTGTTTAGGAATTTGTGGGTAGCGAATGACTTAGAATTTTAGCAAGAGAATATGGCTATTTATAGGGGAGTGACCGGCCCTATTTGGAAAATAGGGGCCCGGCCATACATGGTCAAATTAGGGGTGGGCAAACAGATATAGGAACCGTAGGTCGGGATGAGTAATGCAGGTTCAGGGCGGGTATGAGGTGGTTCCAATTTTTTTTTAAATACTAAACGGGGCCGGGCAGGGACAATGGTATGTAAGGGGCGGGCTGAGTCCTAATATTTAGAACAACGGGGCCTTGAAGGCCCGTTTCTAACTTAAAGTCATCAACACCTCTTCCATGTCCTCCCACATTGTAACGTCCAGAAGTTTCTAATTCAAAAGCTAATTACTTAGGGTTGGCTTGAAATTTATCATGGTTAATCAATATACTATTAGCCACCATAAATTAAATTTGATCATATTATGGTTGCATCTAACCTCCTCGTTAGACTGCCTACGTACCCTACGAAGGGATCAAGCCATTCGTAGTTTACAATTCCAATTTCTAACTCATTTTCGAAAATCGTTCAAGTGACTAACAATCACTAACTAGGTTCAAACAAGTGAATCACACCAAATACATTTCAAATATGGATTCAGAATATCAAAATTTGTTTAAAAAGGCAACATCGGCCCTCTAGCCACGCGCCGCCACATGTGGCGGTTTCCAGCGAACAGAAACTCAGTTTTCTGATGAACTCCAAAAATTACCAAAATTTACAGGGTTGTAGAGTTCAATGAGAGGAGCAACTTTCATACTTGGGCCGAAGTCCAATTTGGCCAGGAACACCTCAAATCAGTCTCAAACCGTCGGAAACCCTAGAAAATGGTGTTCTCGATCCAACTCCAAAACCATTCCGACGTCCCAACCAATGCTTGGGCTTTGTTCCTGGGCTCAAAGGGAGTCTAATGGTGGTGGAGTTCGATAAAATTTCATTCAAAAATGGCGAATCGCCATCAATGAACCCCGACAGCACCGAGGGTTTCTTAGTGAAAAGAGGCCAAAACCCGTAAGTTTTTTGGTGTAATTAATGGAGGGATCAATAGGGTTCGAAGAGATGAGTAATTTGACACCGGTCCCGTCGTTAACGGTGGTCGAAATCAGAGAATCCGACCGGGTCGAGTCGGTGGGTCATAGGGATCCGGTTCTCTCTCTTCCCTCCTTGCTCTTCTTTCTAATTAGTTTCTCTTCTCCTCTCACCCCCCCAATTGGCTGCAACCCCTTCCTTTGTTTCCTCTTCCTTCCCTTACAGCCACACACGTGGCATCATCTCCTTGCTCCCGATTTCCTGGAGCCTTCTAGGTTATGGTCCAATTACCATTTTACCCCAAACTTTGCTCGTTCATAACTTATTCGTTATAACTCTGTTTCACGAACAGTTTACGCCTACACGAGATTGGGCTCTTTCCAAATATACCAAGAAATCCGATAAAATATATGAGAATATAAATATGGCATTTTTGTCATTTCCACTTATCGAAAAAAAATTCCACATAATCACATATTTTAAAATTTTCAAGGTATTACACATATGTCCAATCTTATCCACTCCCTTTATTGAACCCCATCCTTCACTATCATATTCCACTTGTACCCTTCCAAATACGCATATCAAATTGCACCTTTCTTTCCATCATACCCTTACCCATTTTACGTAAAGACCAAAGTACCCATCTGTACAAACACTGGAAAAAGAGCTCCACATGCAGTGAAGTTGTACGCTGCAGTAGCAGATATGTCCCTCTGTCTCTCTCAAATGTTCAAAGTCTCACCTCGAGACCCAACCCAGCCTTAGGATTAAATGGTACTGTCCAGAAGACTCTAGTCCCACTCGCCTCGAGACTCCCTCCCACCCACTCTTCTCCTCCTCGATGAAACCACTCTCACAGAAGTCACCGAGACCATCGCTGTCATCACGACCACCATGATTGAGCTACCCTCGAGACTCCCTTCCACCCATTCTTCTCCTCTTTAACGAAACCACTCTCACAAAAGTTACCGAGACCATCGCCGCCGTCGACGAAACCACTTTCACTCTCCCTGACTCGTCCTCTCCACTCTTTTAAACCCAGCTCTATTTGTCATTCATCCTTCATCATCACCAAACTTCCAGAAGCTACTAGTTTGAAGATTAAGCCTAGCCGGCACAAATTTGCCGATTTTGGATTTTTTTTTTTTTTTTGCTAGAGGTTATGGCGGTCATTCAGAATTGGGAAGAGAAAAGGTGGATTTTGATGAATTTTTATTGTTGCAGAAGAGGTGGCCCTTTGGAATTGGGAGGAAGAAAAAAGGTGGATTTGTATTGGGTTTGCAGAAGAAACCAAGACGTCCGTCAAATTGGATATGTGAACCTGCCCCATACCAGCCCGTTTCACACGGGTCGGATTTGCAGAAAAACAAAGATGTTCGTCAAATTAGATCTGTGAACCCGGCCCGTTTCAAACGGGTTGGGTTATGTCTGGTTCCAAATCTCAAAATCCTTCTACCCGGCTCGCCCTGCCCCTGTGTATTTTAAAATTGGTCTGGTCTGGTTCCTTCAAATTTGGGCCCGGCTAGGCCCGTGCCCACCCATGGGTCAAATTGTGAGTGTAATTGCAAGATATTATGTGAAATAATATCTTGCAATTAACTTGGCAATTAAACCTAAATTGAATACGAAAATTGGGAGTTACCTTTTGAATAAGGATTTGATGAGGAGTGATGAGAGAGATATGAATAAATATCATTTCGATCACCTTTGACTCTTCCTTGATTGAGCCGTTATTTTCCGTTGCACGCGCGTGTGAAGATATCCGAGTGAATGGGTTGTATATGTAGGATAACGTGTTGAGGAAGGGAATTAACCCTCACACCAGAGCTCAGCAGCTTGAAGATCTCTTGCAATCAGTACTCTCTCTCTCTCTGAGTACTTGTATAATATGATGTGCACATTTGTGTGATTAGAAATGGGGACGTGGATTTGTGCAGTGGGATTGTGAATTTGGACATCAATTGATTTTGGCATAGGGTTTGGGAATTGGGTATTCAATTGTGAATTAGGGAACTATATTCTTGGATTCAAAGCTGCCAACTTTAATTTTGAGTACCAGTTCATGTGATTTTTGCGCCAAGTGAGGATGTGGGGGAGTTAAGATTACATCAGTAAACTTTGATTTTCATGAGATTGCATCAGTAAACATAGATTTGTTTAGTTATGTGGACGTGAACTCGAATTTGTTGCTTAAGTTTCTGCATTTTCTTTGCACTTTATCTTTTCGATGCTAGTTTGGCAAGTTCTGTGTTACTCTATTTGGTTTATGTAGTAGGGTGGAGAGAAAGGAAATGATTAAGTCTTAATCATTGCCTAGATTTACAGAACATGGAAGTTAGACTAGATCATATCCTTTGAAGTGATTCTATTCCTTTTGTTTCGATAGACATTTCTTTGTAACTTGATGATTCTTTAGTTGGAGTATTCTCTTACTTGTTTGGGAGATTTTTCTCTCTCGTTGTACTTTACTGTGCCTACAGTTATAACATATTCGCATGTTTGTGGGTCAATTGAAGTAGTTAGTTTGTATTTCATTCGCTATCTTAATCCCAGACACTTTTCTTAAGAATAGGATGGCAGTATGAATAATCTACTGTATTGATTCATTAAAATATACAAGCTAGGCTAGAGTTCTTATACAAACTGTAAAGATACAATCACATCCCGTAATTCCTACAAATCAACTAAGTAAATATTTTTACAAAAGGAAAGAATAAATCGTTGATAGTCAATGATCACCATGCTACCAAATGGGAAGGAAATCATTCATATCATAACACTCCCCCTCAAGTTGGCGAGTGAATGTCAAAAACCGCTAACTTGCTCAGCAAAAAACATAACTGTTCTTTTCCTAAAGGCTTCGTGAATATGTCTGCAACTTGCCTTGAAGATGGAACAAATTTGGTGACTACCTTTCCCTCTTGAATTTTATCTTGAACAAAATGATAGTCAATCTCTATATGGCGTGTCCGCTCATGAAAAATAGGATTAGTGGCAATGTGAAGAGCCGCTTGGATATCACAGTGTAAAACAGCAGGGCCCATAATTTTAATATCACATAAAAGACTTTGTAACCAAGTGAGCTCACAACAGGTAGCAGCCATTGAAAGGTACTCTACTTCTGCAGAAGATAATGAGACAATCTTCTGCTTTTTGCTTTTCCATGAAATTAAAGAATCTCCAAGGAAAACACAATATCCGGTAGTAGAACGTTAAGTCATCGGACACCCTGCCCAATCGGCATCACAAAAAGCCTTCAATCGTAGCAAACTTTGTGAGGAAAACAAAATACCTTGAACTGGAGTGTTCTTCAAATATCTCAAAACACGTAAAGCTGCATTATAGTGAGGCTTGCGAGGATGTTGCTTGAAACAACTCAACGTGTTCACTACAAAAGTAATATCGGGTCTAGTAATAGTTAAATATATCAAACATCCTATCAATCTTCGATAGATGGATGGATTGTGAAGCAAATCTCCTTCATCAGGAAGTAGCTTCAGATTTTGTTCCATGGGGAAGCTAGCTGATCGTGCTCCCAAAAGACCCACATTTTTCAAAATGTCCAATAAATATTTTCTTTGAGAAATAAAAATCCGCTTTTTTGAACGAGCAATCTCTATTCCTAAAAAATATTTAAGGGCTCCTAAATCTTTGATGCGGAAGCAATTATTCAAAAAAGATTTAAAAGAACCAATAGCCGTCATGTCATTACCAATGATCAAGGTACCATCAACATAAATAAGGAGAGCTGTGAACGATTTGCCAACTTTTCTTGTAAAAAGGGAATAACCGGCTTTGGACTGTATATACCCACCTGCACAAATAGCCTCAAAAAACTTAAAAAACCACTACTAAGAGGCTTGCTTTAATCCATACAAAGACTTGTGAAGGCGACATACCAAATGCTCCCCCTGTCACCAAAGACCAGGAGGTGGAACCATATATATTTCCGCTTGGAGATCACTATGTAGGAAGGCATTATGGACATCCATTTGATGTAGGGACTAGCCACGAGCAGCCGTAAAAGCAAGGAGACAACAAAGCGTAACCAACTTTGCAATCGGGGAAAACGTATCCTGGTAATCAACACCCTCAATTTGAGTGCAACCCTTGGCCACTAAACGAGCTTTGTAACGCTCAATAGTGCCATTGGACTTGTGCTTGATTTTGTATACCCAACGACAACCAATAGGGGTCTTGCCAGATGGAAGTGCAGTCAAAGACCAAGTGGCGTTAGCTTCTAGAGCTTGAATCTTTGAGGCTATGGCTTCTCACCACTGAGGATCTTTAGCAGCCTCTGGATATGTGTTAGGTTCAACAAGGAGAGTAATATTGGCAATAAAAACTTTGATAAGATGGAGAAAGTTTTTTTTTTATAAGAAATATACTTGCATAAAGGATGGTGAGTACCTTTTTTAGAGGAACCTAGAGTCGATGCAATGAGTGGGGAAGACAAGGAAACATGAGAGAAAACATAGTCATCAAGGTAAGTAGGTGTACATGTAGGCCTATCAGAATGGCGTAAGGGGGGTGCAACAAGTGGACTAGGTGATGGAGGAGGGCTATTGGTGACTGTTTGGTCTGGGAGAGGTGTAGCAGTGCAGTTGGATGGAGTCTCATTATCAACTTGAGTGGATGGTGAAATGGACTCAACGGGAATGGGTGGTGTCTCAATGTCATCATGAGTAGGAAGAGGTAAGACAGGTTTTTGAGGTTGGGTTAAATGAGTGGTGATAAAAGGAAAATTAGACTCATGAAAAACGACATCTCAGCTGGTGAATACTTTATGAGTATAAAGGTCGTACAACTTATACGCTTTTTGACCAAAGGGATATCCTATAAAGACACATTTTTTGGCTCGTGCATCAAATTTATGAAGAGGTTGAACATTGGTGGCGTAAGCTAAACATCCAAAAGTACGCAAGTGGGTATACGATGGAGGACGATCATAAGAACCTCAAAAGATGATTTATTAGACAAAAGTGGTGTGGGTAAGCGATTTATGAGGTAGATTGCAGTAAGGACACAACCTCCCAAAAAATACAAAGGTAAGTGACTCTGAAAAAGTAATGCCCTGGCCACTTGCAAAATATGACGGTGTTTTCACTCGACCACTCCATTTTGTTGTGGAGTATATGTGCAAGAACATTTAAAAATCACACCACTCTCGGAAAAGAAAGAATGCAGGGACAAAAACTCACTACCATTATCAGTTCGAATTTTCTTAATTTTGTGATGGAATTGAGTTTCTACATAAGAAAAGAAAGTTTAAGTAACTGTTATGTTTCAAATTTATGTCTCATCAAAAAGAGCCAAGTGGTTCGAGAAAAATCATCAACAATTGTTAAGAAATATCGAGCCCCACTATAAGTAGAAATTTTGTGCGGTCCCCAAATGTCACAATGAACAAGCTCAAAAATGTGTTTACCAGAAATATGACTTAATGGAAAAGGAAATCTAGTTTGCTTTGCTAATGGGCAAACATCACAAGGAATATTTGAATGAGAATAAACATCTAACGATTGCTTAGCTAAAAGGTGGAGTCGTTGTGGAGAGGGATGACCAAGACGACGATTCCATGAAATGGAATTAACGCAACTGGGTAAAGGTGAAATGGTGCGGCTACTATTTGGTTTGGTGAGATAGTGAAGACCTCCATGTTGTCTACCCCATCCAATCATCTTTCTCATCTCCAGGTTTTGTAAGACACAAAAATTCGGAAAAAATGTTATGAAGCATCGAAGGGATTTTGTTAAACGACTAACAAATATCAAATTAACCAAAAATGAGGCAATTCGTGATACGTTAGTCAATGAAAGTTTGGGATCAAAAGTAAAATTGCCAATATTACTAATTGAAACCCTTTCACCAGTCAGAAGTTTTACTGGCGGCAAAGACTTGTTCACAGTAGAGTTTGATAGGGAAATGTCGTAACATGATCTGTGGCGCCACTATCAATTATCCATTATTGTGAATGATGGGAAGACAAACATGTGATTGCATTGGTCTGTGCTTCATATGGCAAATTTCCAGCCATCATAGCAAAGAGTTGTTGAAGCTGCTCAGGAGTAAAAGTCATCGATGTTGTTGATGTAAATGAAGAAGTTGAAGAAGTTGTTGCTAGAACATGGTTAGTCGCAGGTTTTCCCTCCTTACCGCGGCTCTTTCCTTTATTCTTTTTATGAAGACGATGGTCCTCGGGATATCCATGAAGCCAGTAGCAAGTCTCCCTGGTGTGATGGTCCATGTCACAATAATCGCAATGTAGCGGCTTGCGATTTCTTTGGCTACCATGGTTGTGCTGATTACCTCGACCACCTTGAACTGCCATGGCTGCTCCTTCCACACTTGGTTCTGGGATGGCTGCAATTCCACGTTGCTTCTCCTCTTGGCTAACCATTGAAAAAACTTTGAGCACTGAAGGCAATGGCTTTACAAGCATAATCTGACCTCTCATTACTATATATGAATCATCAAGCCCCATTAAAAATTGCATAACCTTATTCTGTTCTTCTTTCTCGTTACGGTCTTCCATGGCACCATATAAGCAGTTTTTATGGTTGCCGTAAGAAGATAATTCATCCCATAAACCTTTCAATTGGGAATAATAGTCAGACACAGACATCTGATTTTGAGTTAGGTGTGTAATGTCACGCTGAATCTCAAAAATTCATGGGACGTTGTCTTGCGAAAAAACGAGTCTTAAGGTCCTCCCAAACAACATGTGCAGTTTCTGCATAAACCACACTGTTTGATAACCCAGAACTCACAGATTTTAAAATCCACATGAGAACCGTGTCATTACAGCATTGCCAAAGCAGCTTCAGTTGCTTTCTTGTCTGACAGCTTCTTCACAAACCTATCAACAAAACCAAATTTGTTATTTGCGCTAAGGGCAATATGCATTAAACGAGACCATGTGCTATAATTGTATCCAATAAGTAGAGTGGAAACAAGATGCATCCTTGGAGTATTAGAGTGATGAATATAGAAATGGCTTGAGGGATCATTCGACACCTCAACCGACTTGGAGTCTCCCATGGCAAAAAAAGACGACTTTGCCCACAAGAAAAACCGAAGAAAAAGGAACGAAGAGAAACCAAGGAAACAAAAAAAAAATCCTAGGATCTTGGACTCTCTAGTACCATCTTAAGAATAGAATGGCAGTATGAATAATCTACTGTATTGATTCATTAAAATATACAAGCTAGGCTAGAGTTCTTATACAAACTGTAAAGATACAATCACATCCCGTAATTCCTACAAATCAGCTAAGTAAATATTTTTACAAAAGGAAAGAATAAATCGTTGATAGTCAATGATAGGAGCATATTTATGCGACTTAGTTAGCTTGTTTTCTTGCATTTTCATAGCTAGTTTCTACTTATTATAGCGTTTTAAGCTATTTTCGTTTGTTTGTAGGTCCAAATAACAAAGTTGGCAAGAAAGTGCATTTTGGAGCATTTTAGTGCAGTTTTGGGCTGGAATGGATAACTTACATATGGAGCACAAGGAATTGACGAATTTGAAGTTCAAGGGAGGCTAGGAATGTGCTAAAGAGTTGAGAAAATTAATTCAAGACATTGAAGATAAGGAATCAGCTTAAAAGAATGAGATATTATCCAAACTACCTTATCTTATCCAAAACCTTATCCAACCTTATCTCATCCAAACTAACCTTAGCTTATCTTATCATATCCTAATCCTATCCTAACTTAATTCTAACTGCAAAGGGGACTCCTTATCACATTAGAATACCTAATATCTGATTCTAGAAGCCCTGAAACAATGCAAATAACCTGATCCTTTTTCCCATAGAAATCTGACGAATTTAATCCCTTTCTAGAAGCTTTGTGCTGAATTTCCTAGTCTTATTCCTCTAGGATTGTGTAATCCTTCTCCTTCACTACTTTGGGCAAAACCCTAACCTATAAATACATATTTTTTGCCACAATTCAAACCACCACCCTCTACCACAATTCACACAACCATTCACCAAAAATTCGTCCACACACAAGAGCCTTAAATTAGAAAATTCTCATTGTGCCGCAGCTGTGCAAGGAAGGAGAAGAAGGAGCCACCTGGAGCTGTGCTTGCCATTCAAGACGTTGGATTGTTGAAGCATTTCTAGGTGTATTCTATCTTTGTTTTCAATGTTTAAATTTAATTTTCTTTGGTTAATTGCGAACATATGGAACTAATTTCTTTTTAGTTAGAGGTGAATTCAAAGCCATGATTATATGCTTTATATGAATTGATTACATCAAGTAATTGTTTCTTGAGTCTTGAATGTGATTTGCTTATCTGAGTTATTGAAACTTGTTTATGTGTGTTGATTGAGGGTCGACACTTAATTTGCATGCATGAACTTGATGCTAGAGTATAAGGGAGTTTCACCTAATCGTTATGAACTTATATTCACAAGTAGTGGAAGTCACTAGTCATGATTGTGTTAAGTAAATCCTTGGTAGGAGTATCATGCTTTTCATAGTTACGAATGCCTCATTAATGCTTATGGTTTTCAAAGAACTTAATGACATTTGATATGTTTTTCTATCATGCTTTTCATAGTTAGGGAACTTGAGAAGGATAATTTGGTTGTGATGCGTATCCCGTCCAATTCAATGAGTTAAGGAAAATCTGATGGTTAATTTGTGTTGTCACGGTTAACTTGGGGTGTTGTCATTCATAGTCTAAGGGAACAATACTGGAAATTGGTTTGTTTGCATATGTCATGTGTGGAGAAGGATCCTCTGGCTAAGTTTTCAGCATTCAAATCACCTACTTTACTTTCTTTTGCAATCTGTTTAGTTTAGTTAAATTTCATCCAAATCAATCCCCCTTTTAATTAAGTGTCTTAGATTAGTTAGAAAAGTGTTTAAATATGTCCAATTTAGTATTTTGAGTCTTACTAGTCTTAAATTCGTCCAAATAGCTCCATAGAGTCTATTTTGAGTCTTTTTTTTATTGTTTGTTGCTGTTTTGAGTGTTTTGAGTCGGTTTTGATTCTATAGAGTCTAGCGTTGTGTTTCTTCTTATGCCTGATAAGCTTGTGTGGGTTGAGTTAGAGAGATTGAGAAATAAACTGAAACCCTATGACGGGCGAATCTTCGTTTCGCATAATATCAAATTTTGTTCGCGGTTGGGAGGAGACAAGTGTACAAAGCAGCTCACAAGTTTAGGCCTGGAGTATGTTGGAAAGCATACACATGCCAGCTTGCTATTTAATCACTATGAAATCTAGTTCGAGTTTAGGGACAAAGGCTTAGAGTTGCAGAATTTATTCATTTTTTCACTGCCTTCCGTCCTAATTTAGATACGGGATGTGAAGCGACGGGTGGCTGCGGTGCTCTTGTGGTATTTGTTTAATAACTTTGGCCACCATTCTCCGAAGGTCAAGTCTTTTAACCTTCTATTTATGATTGTACTTGTTAGAGTGGCAAATCGTTTGTGCAGGCGGCTGAGGCCTGTTTTGTATTTTTGGGATAGGAAAATTGTAACCTGTAAGAATTTGATAACACTTTCTTTGAATTTATGTAAGCTATTCATTTTTTCTTCAGCAGTTGCTTAATAAGTTGCATAGTTTAATTTAAGTAATCATATTAATTTGATTAAAATAATAAATTATATTTGGCCCTATGACCCTTTGGCCCCTTCAGTTGGAGATGATTTTTTGTCACAAGGCTATATTTTGCCTATGGTCTTTCGGTTGGAGATGGTAAAAAATATGGCATGACATTGTTCATTAAAATATTAATTTCTTAGAGGGTTATAGGATTAAAACGAGCATTCTGACCCTCCTTCGGTTAGAGATAGCTTTAGATACCATGATTTGAAGGCTGAGATTCAGCGAGCTCATGTATAAAACCGGGTCTTTAGCACTCGGTGTTATCCTATACACTTTCTTTTTTGTACGCCGGGTGGTTTTTTGTCGGATGGGAGTAGTTCCAGCAAAAGAACATTTGCACGCCTCAATAGCAAAGGACATATGCACACCTCCAGTTAAAGTCCCTACTTACATTTAAATGAAAAAATAATTTGCTTAATGTTATAAAGCAGAGAAATACAAGCAAAACACTTGTGTTATGTCAGCAAACCATAATGCTTCTAGTGATTACAAATAGCATTGCCTAGAAATCCTAATAGGGTAAACTGTTGATTTCTTCTCTGAACTTTTACTTAGCTTTCAATTTTCCTCTAAACTTTTTAATTGGATGATCAAGGATTTAAACTAGGGAATTTTAATGAAAATGACTTGGACTAATTTTTATTTAATGAAAAACCACCCTAAACTATTATTTAATAAAAATGGCTTAAATTTTAATAATAAGGACTTGAAATTTAATCAAAAAGGACAAAAACTAAATACTCTAACTAAAAAACAAGCCCATGTGCAAAACCAAACTTTTTTTTTACAGGCACTACCCCTGACGGAAGCCCCATTCCGTCAGTTAATGCCACTACCTTACCCATTAAACACGAAAGTGATGATGGAGGATACGAAAACCATTAGTATACATGCTGCAAATCCACATGTCAAAGCCCCACCAATTTGAAAGCAAAATCTTTGAAAATCTTGCTTTCAACAAATATAAGCAGCATGTATATATGTCGCACCAAATGTGAAGTACAATGCCATTTGTTCAGCAAATTTTTTAGCTTTTGTTATCATGAAACAAACTTTTCATTTGTATGCTCCAGTAAATTAATGCACAGTAAATAAACGATCGAATAGACGCTTTGTGTTTTTGTTAAAATTAGATAGAGGAAATCTAAAAAACATCCCTTGGATGCTTTTTGTACTCAAATTCAAATCTAAAATCATAACAAAACACCAAAATTTTATAAAAGAAATATATTTCGAAAGAAATCCATAAATATGCTCTGATTGGAAGTATCATGAATTTTTTGAGGTAAATTGTATGATATAATTGGTCTTTCAGATTGATCATTAGTGGTTTTTTTTTTTTTTTTTTCAGATCAAGAAATAGTTTGGTTCTTGAAAACTTAGTTTTTGCACTACTTCTCTATAAAAACCTGGTCAATGTATTGAAGATCAATTGTTACTTGTGGGACATACGTTCCATATGGAGTAATTATGTTGTACCGACTGTCTGAATTGAGTTAATATTTGTTTAGACATAAGCTTTTAGGCTTTGATTGGATGAAGTATTTGGGACCCATAAGCTGATGAGAGGTACTAATCTCATTTTCTTGTTAACTACTTATTTCAAATTAATGTTTGCATGTTTGTGATCCATAAACTTAGTAATGTTTATAACTCACATCAATGTTTATGATTATGTTTTTTTCTTTTTTTTTTTATTATGTTTGGAAGTCTCATGCATTTGCCTTGGATCTATCTCATTATAAAATTGAACTCATGTGTGTGTATAGTGTTTCGTTTGAGAAATAATCAGTGTTTAGTTTACGAAACAGTAATAGTACTAGTGTTCCGTTTGATAAATAGTCAATGTTTAGTTTACGAAATAGTGATAGTACTAGTGTTCCGTTTGAGAAATAATCAGTGTTTAGTTTATGAAACAGTGATAGTACTAGTGTTCCGTTTCATAAATAGTCAGTGTTTAGTTTACGAAACAGTGATAGTACTATTGTTCGTTTGATAAATAGTCACTGTTTAGTTTACGAAACAGTGATAGTACTAGTGTTCCGTTTAAGAAATAGTCAGTGTTTAGTTTACGAAACAGTGATAGTAATAGTGTTCCGTTTAATAAATAGTCAGTGTTTAGTTTACGAAACAATGATAGTATTAGTGTTCCGTTTAATAAATAGTCAGTGTTTAGTTTACGAAACAGTGATAGTACTAATGTTCGTTTGATAAATAGTCAGTGTTTAGTTTAGGAAACAGTGATAGTACTAGTGTTCGTTTGATAAATAGTCAATGTTTAGTTTACGAAACAATGATAATACTAGTGTTCCGTTTAAGAAATAGTCAGTGTTTAGTTTACGAAACAGTAATAGTACTAGTGTTCCGTTTGAGAAATAGTCAGTGTTTAGTTTACGAAACAATGATAGTACTA